CCCAGTTTTATGTTTGTATAATGTATAATTTATGTTTGTATAAAGCGAAAGAGAGCGATTTTTGATATACAAATATTTTTGTCAACGATTTATACAAACGAGAGGCTAACAACAATTTATACAAATGGCCTGCCAGCGAAATTATACAATTCTGAAGATGAGCCAACGAATTATACAATTGCTTCTTTTTGTATATATGTATAGCGAAATAGACAGCTTTCAATTGTATATGTATAGCGAATTATACATATATATGTTTGTTATGGAGCGCAATTATGCAAACTTTGCTATAGCATACAAATATGATTTTTTGTTTGCTATATGTGAAAGTTGCTCTATTATTATTCATCCACCACATGTGGAAGAAACACCCCTATATACTATAATTTATAGTTATGTGATTATTTCTTCTAAATAAAATGACAGTGGTTGTGGTTGGTGGATAATTTAGTGAGTAAGTAGATGATTTTTAGATTTTTTATTCAGTGTTCGATATTCGTATTAAAATTTAATTATTTTGGATTTACACCATGTAGGACTTCATTCAAGGAAAAGCGCTTCCTGTCAAGAATTATTTTTATACGCATGGCTCTAATTAAATCTGTAATTAAGGAAGGAGCAACTTCATCCACTGCACCACATCTTTCAATAATAATGAGTGAGTGGATGAAATGAATGAAGTCACATTCTAGATCATGGGAAGAACACAAGATGGTGGGTTTGAAAAAAATTATGACCGCTACTTTATTACTATAGTCACTATATATAACATGACAAATAGTTTAATTTGATATTAATAATTTTATTATTCCCTCCCAAAAAAAAAATAGGTACATACATTTTTAGATATGTAAACAACACTATTCATTTTATTTGAATGCAAGGATTTTATAGGATCACACAAATGCTAAAATATGTTTTAGATTACAAGTTTTATAATCATAAAAATATTATTACAAGATTGAGATCTTAATTTTAAAAATTTATATTTTTTTTAAAATTTTGTGTCAAAAATTATGTCACATAAATTGAATAAAAGGACAATAATAAATTCAAACCTGCTGCTGGCTTTATTTATTGCACTTTTAGGAACATGATCTATTAATTTCTGGTCTTGCTCTGTTGTCTTAGTTGATGATTCTTCCATGTTGGTCAACAAATCCTTGGTTGCTGAGGCTAATAAATAAATTTTGCAGAGAGGCTAATAAATAAGACAATAAAAAAAATATATATATATATAAACATAATAAATTTAAATTAATTGATGGACATATATTTATTGTTATAAAAAAGGTACAAAAATATCGAAAGAATAATCTCACAAAATTCACTATAGTGGATGTTGGTAAATGGGAAGGAAAAATCCTCAAAAAACCTTTTTATCCAAAAATAAAATAAAAAACTGATTAGCCAAATGTAGAAGATTTATGTTTTTCTTTGAAGAAAAAGTATAATTACAATTGCAATAGTATCCTAAGAAAAAAGGTAAGAAAATCAAGACAAACATTTAACTGTTATAGTTATTATACTACTAACATTTATTTTCCAGGAAGAAAATCATAAAAGAAGTAAGAAAAATACTAAGAAAATTAAGACAAACACGTAACAATAGTTGAGATCGCTTAAAAATTGGACATAATCCTTGATAGTCTAGTATATATGCATATAAATGTATTGAGGTTATAAAAAAGAATTTTTTGAGGAAAATTTAAATTCATACTTGAATTCCACTAGCTCACTAAAAACTAGGCCTTCATCATTATCAAGTCAGCTCATAATAAAATATTATATCAAGGCTGGCATAATCAAATTGGTTGAGGAAAATGAACCTCCAACGATCAAGTTGACCATCCTATCCACTAATGGACTATTTACAATTTTATCTATTTCGATTAAAAAAAGATGCTCTTAATTAGTTCAGTTCGATAAAACGTGAATCTCCAATACACAATATGCACACTTGCAGGTGTTGATACTTGAGAAACATCATCAATTTTCTTCAAAGATAAAAGCATAAATGAAGTAGAAATAAGAAAGCAAAATTAAAATACAAATATGGAAAAGTGAAAATTACCTTTGGCTTCTCCATTGTTACTAATTGTAAGATTTAGATTTTTGAGGTCTGCTTTTCCATTGAAATATTGAGTCAACAAATTACAAGTCTTCATCAAATGGGATTTCTCACTATCTAATGAAGAAAGTGGCCTATTTGACATGTTGGATCTATTCTCTTCTTTAGCTTGAAGAAAAATGATGACTACTCTTCATGAGTAGGGGAATAAATATATCTTGAGTGGCAGGGTAGAATCAGTTTTACTATCTCTACAAGGTAGTATAAAATTACGTACATTTCATTCTTTTTAAATTTTATCAGTGATATTACATTGAGTATGTTGATAGTGCTATTGTTGGTGTTGCTGTTGAATGGTAAGGTTAGGTATACTCCTTCTGTCCCGGCCCACCTTGTGTAACATGATGAGCATCAAATTATCTAATTTTCATAAGAATTCAGAGTTCAATATATTTTTTTAAAAATAAAAATTTACATAAAAATACTATAAATCACAATAATTAAAAGGCAAATAAAAATAAACGTTTTTAAAAATTCTTTAAACTATATCTAAATAATAAAAATGTATCACAAAAATTAAAGTGTGATACTATATTGCTCGTGATTTTGATGTACCGTCAATAGCAGTCTTTATCTCTTTATATATTGCCCACATTTCAATTATTTAGCACGTTTATTTTATTTTCTTGATATACATGTGAATATCATAAAGACTTGTGGTCCAAATTGGGGCTACCAAAATAGTAGACATGCATGAGTAACACATTGTTTCAAATTCGAGCTTTGAAAATTATATTAAATATTTTGCAAATATTAAAAAGAGGAGATAATGACTTTTTTCTATATTTTTATTTGTTATATTTTAATCTGATGTAAAATTTAAGAAAATAAAAAAGAATTTTGAATTTTGTGATCTTAAATTGAAGACAGACATATCTTATGATCTTAAATATGAGTAACACATGTTTCAAATTCGATCTTTGAAAATTCTACTAAATATTTCACTATTAGAATAAAAAGGTAATGACTTTTTCGTTCAATTTATTTATTATATTTTAATCTGATGTGAAATTTAAGAAAGTAAAAAAAGAATTTTGAATTTTGTGATCTTAAATTAAAGATAGACAAATCTTCAGATCTTAAATATGAGTAACACATGTTTCAAATTCAAGCTTTGAAAATTCTACGAAATATTTCACTATTAAAATAAAGATAATGAATTTTTTCTTCATTTAATTTATTTATTATATTTTAATCTGATGTGAGATTTTTGAAAGTAATGTTTTTTTTTTTAATTTTGTGATCTTAAATTAAAGATAATCAGATCTTATGACCTTAAATATGAGTAACACATGTTTCAAATTCGAGTTTTGAAAATTCTACTAAATATTTCGCTATTAAAAAAAGAGATAATGGCTTGTTTCTTCGTTCAATTTATTTGTAATATTTTAATCTGATGTAAAATTTAAGAAAGCAATTTTTTTTAATTTGTGATCTTAAATTAAAGATAGACAGAGCTTATGGCCTTAAATATATCAGTGGAAAGTTAAAATTAAAAAAATTGTTAGAAAAAAACATTTTTTAAACGTATTAGAAAATAACATGGTTAAAATATTGATAGTGTAATAAATTGTTTGTTAAATATAAAAATATGTCATTTAAAAAAAAAAAACTGACTAAAACAAAAACTGTGTGTAACGACCTGTTAAGTCGTTTCGAACACTAGACCTATTTCTCTCATAAAAGAACCTTACCGTAAATATTAATGAGAATCTTGAACTATTCGTATAACTATGGTTATTTAGTTGACGGATATTTATTAAGTAATTAATTTAGTTGGTGATTAATAGGTCAAGTCCATAATTTATTTAATATCTTACCACTTGACTCATATTTATCAAAATAAGTTAGTAGAATTTGTCACTTTTTTGTACATAATTATTTTATTTAGAGAAGAAAAGAAGAAGGTGTCGAACAAAAAAGAATGCGAGAGCATAAGGTAATAAGAATTCAATATATGCATTTTTTTAAGGTGGTCATATGACGTAGGTTATGGTTTATTCTTTGTGATAGAGAGACTCTTAATAGTAATTGATAGTCATTGAGTAATGCTATGAAATTTTCTATGTACTTAATTGTTGTGGTTGGATAATTCATGTATTGTGCCAGTTGGTCTGTAATCCCAAGACCGCGAAATTCATAATTTTGAACTTGCTCTATTAAAATGATGCCTTGAATAAAGAAGACTTAATGGAGTATCATTAAGGAAGTGGAAATAGATGATAAAGAATGATGAATTAACTATATTGTTGGATCGGGTGCCACAAGCCGACACGATATATTTGGATCGGATGCCACGAGCCGACACGATATATTTGGATTGGGTGCCACGAGCCGACATGATATTATTGGATTGGGTGTCACGTTTCAGCACGATATTATGGATCGGGTGTCACGTTCCTGCACGGTAACATTAAAGAAAAACATATCAAAATAACTTAATATACTTAATCTCAAAGAACCTATTTCCCAAAAGAGCGTGGTGTGGAAGCCTGAGTCCTCGTGTGTCACGACCCAAACTGTCATGATTGACACCCACACTAACCATCCAGTGGTAGAACCTATACTACAACCAAACTAAGCAACTAAAACAATACTAAGACAATTAAGTTACGGAAGCAAGTTAATTAACTAACAAATGCAGAAATTTAATACCTAGAACCTGAAAGTCAATGTACCAAAACATCTAAACAATGATCCAAGTCTAAACAAGAAGGGATAAATCCCACACTAATGAACTAATCAACTAACTAGAACAAATATCTAAGTCCGAAAATGATGGACATAGACGAAAGAGAATCCCATGGCACCCCTGGAAGAGCTCACCCTTGAATTCGAAGCGACGATCACTGATCTTCTAAGCAAGGTATGTTAGTAGTCGCGTGAAGATGCCCTGTACTCAACAAAAATAAGAGCAAGTGCAGAATCAGTACACAACCGCAGTGTACTGGTAGGATTACGCGGCTATCCCACTAGTGCAACATAAACAAGTCAAACAACATTACAATCACATGAATATATATCAACATCTACAATATTATCAACATGCTTATCAATATACATTTATCAGAAATCATTGGTCCTCTCACGGAACCCATCCAAGTTAGTTATGCCGGAACGTGGCAACCAATAAGTTAGTTATGCCGGAACGTGGCAACCGATCCCATTAACACACCACAATCACAATCAGAAGTACATCATCAAGATTATACATTTACATCATGATTTCATGGCAATGATATTCATCTATCTCATTTACATCAAGTGTGATCAACATTGCAACATTCATACATACACAAGTATCATAAATGAAGCAAGAACAAGTATACATCACACAAACATAGAATCACAACCATCACTTACCTCGAAACAAGCTTGAAACCCTAAGAAACTTGATCCTTCCCTTTCCAGATTCGTTTCGCTTGTTCTTGGTCTACAAACAATCACAATAACACAGGAATCAACAAACAATCGCTAATTACCCGAAACTATAACAATTCTATGAACCCTAGATCAAACCCATGATCCCAAACATCCAAACTAGGGTTGTTTCCACCATAAAATCTATAACAAGACCTTCTCCCATCAATATTCACCCATTCTATTACATTCTACGTATCGAGAAACGGATTCGGGGAGTGAAAAACTTACCGTTAGCCTCAAGAATGGTGAAAAACGAGTAGAAATTGCCTGGGGTCATTTCTTAGCTCTAAAAGTCGAAAAGTGCCAAATAAGGTTGCTTAGGGGTTTATTAACAACATTAAGTCACGTTTGGCCCGCCACAATGGCCCTCATCCAGTTGTAGCGGCGGCGCCAGAGTGACATCAAGTCCTGCCAGAGCGGCATTTTTGAACCAGTGAGCTATCCATCATTTTCTACGATTTTAAGTCCCGTCGTACCCGCCACAGCGCCCCATGTCCAGCTGTAGCGACCCCGCCTGAGCGGCCAGACTCCCCCCAAAGCGGCATAAACGAAACCAGTGAGTCAATTGAAGAAATTCCAAAATCCCCTTTCACTACATATCTCTAACCCATGACGATCAGAAAATACCCCTCACACTAAGATCGATTTCGGGAGTTCTACTCACCCGAATTCAATTCCGTAAAGTCATACGGATTCCTTAACAAGTTATCTAACTACTCATGCAATCAAAACTATAATTACTTCACCCGATTATTACTAGATTTCCCCACACCTCAAGGACTCTGATTTCGTCCAAATCTGGACAAGGTTGGGAAAATTCAAGTACTACGAAAAAGTTTTTCCGGCCCCAATTTCTCCCCCGTTGACATTTCTATAACGACGGAACCTGGTCGTTACATCGTGTGTGTTCTTGATATTGTTGACTGATTACGTACTTCCTTTAGTGTAGTTGCCACTTGTTCATGTTGTTTGTTTTTTCTCACATGCTAAGTGCTATAGTTAATTTCATGTTATTATTTTATGCTTATTGGTTTCTTTTTTGAGTTGGCCGATGATATCTACTTAGTACATGTTGCCCGATACTGACCCCTACTTGTATTTTGTTCATTTCTCTTGTGGAGTGCAATAGTGTATCAACAACTTCAACTCGCCTTCAGCCCTAGCCAGCCTCTAGCACATCAAGTTCCAAGGTGAGCTATTCATTTTAGCTCGTGTTGGATTTTCTCGATCATGGCATGATTTTCTTAGTTTACGGACACAAACTATTTTATTTATTTATTCTGGTATCTTGATACTCTTAGACTTGATATTTTGATATTAGATGTCCTTGATGTGATGATTTTCAGGTTTTGAAAATAAGATGTGATAGACTCTTAGTTGATTTGATTTCTTAATTCCTTTAATAAGACTTGAATTTTCGCATTATTGTCGTATTTCCCGAGTTGAATAGCTATTATAAATTGGGGTTGCATTCATTGGTGTGGATGCCACTCATGATTCATTTTGAATCGTTACAATACGTCATATAAATTAGGACATGGACATTCACGCCCAAAATTAGTATCCTTACCTGCTTTAACTGCCTCCATTGACATTTCACCCTAATTAACAAGACATTTGATAGCGAAGATGTTAAATTCAGATCTAATAATTGAAGGTTTTAGGATTTTAGAAAGAAACTAATAATTTCTTAATTTATGATTATAAATTTTATTTTTTGATGTTTTGAAACTAATTGAGAGCAAGATTCATGCTCAACCATATAAATTTAAATATTATCCGGTGAATTAA